CCTCTGCACTTGCCTAGATGAAAGGGATCACCTACCATGGGTATCTTCCTGACCAAGAGCAGAGGAGAACGAGAGGAGGCCAAAGGCAAGCTCTTTCCTCGACGGCAGTACGACAGATCATTCAGATATTGACACTAGCTCATTCATTCCTTAAATTCTTATTACTGTATTTAGCTGTTAGCTACCGTCTTCACCTGAATAGAAGGCCTGGTAAGTATCGCCGTATCTGGGCTGAAAGTTGGGCCAAATGCAGCTATATTGACCGGGCGTTCTATTCCGGTGAAGTCGGTAGTTGTTAATAAGAGGATATGGCAATTATGTGGGCATTAACGATGACGGCGAGAGAAGGGGATGGCATCGGTTCACTTATTGTGTTTCTGTTCTTCTCCTCCTTCATCTTTCTTTCCTCGTTCTTCTTCTCTCCTGTTCTTTTCTTTTCCTTTCGGTTCACTTATTGTGTTTCTGTTCTTCTCCTCCTCCATCTTTCTTTCCTCCTTCTTCTTCTCTCCTGTTATTTCTTTTCCTTCCTTTTCTGTTTTATGAAAATCTTCTCCTGTTCTAATCACAAGTATCACCTGCTTCCTTTTGTGTCCCAGATGCATTGAAGACCCCATGCACGCAAACCTGAGCATGGCATGGAGGGCAGGCATGACATGCATGTCCACTCCGAGAATCGAACACACAAGCAACGGCTTGTCAGGAAAACACCTAACCAATAGGCCAAGTGGGCTGGGCTAGAAAGTGAAGCCCCAAGATGAGTACTGCACAAAAACACAGCTGTGAGGGTTCACATCGGCAGACATGCAATCTGACAGCGAAAAGAGTGAGCCGCTTTGAGAGAGACTGGCAAAATTTTGATTGCATTGTAAATGCAGATTGACAAAATTGATAGCATTATCAAATGCAGGACTGCCTACAACTCAGCAATGACAAGAACACAGGTCCGTCATTTCTTAACAAATCGCGACAACGCACTGCCAAGAGCTGCGGGCGCGTCTGAACCTCCAGCAGCAGCAGCAGCAGCAGCAGCATCCGGAGCGGGAAACTTGTCCCCTCGCGGCTGTTTGTTCTTTTCATGAGCATCCTTGACAATGTGCTTCTTCTTGACATTGAACACAACATCCTGCTTTTTCTTGAACTTCTTGCTGGGTGTCGCCTTGCCCTTAGCTTTGTTCCTCATTGCTGACCTCTTCCCCTTCTTCAGCGCCAATTCACGCTCCTCCTTCTCTTGCGCTTTCCTCTCTGCCTCCTGCTGGGCCTTTGTCGGCTTCCGGAACTTGCCGATGATCTCAGGTTCCAAGGTGATCATGCTGGGTTGCAGTTTGTCCAAGAGGGAGTGGATCTCCTTCTCACGCCGCTGCTTCGGCGTCTCGAATGGATTTGCAACAAAGGTGTCGAAGTTCGGTTCGCCGGCGCCTGGGACGATGATCGACGAAATTCCGCCGGAATGCCCCACAACGAGCGAGTCCTCGTACGGGCAAAACTGAAAGTTGCGAACCACAGAGCGATCGAACAGTTTGTGCGTCATGTACAGGTCCCTCTGCTTCTGCTCCGAAGCTCCCCGTCCTATGCGTATCAGGCTTCCGTTACCCTCTGCAACCAACCCTTTCTGACTTATGTCAATCCACGTGACGGGCTGGGGGACGGCGTACGAATGCAGAGCTTCAAACTTCCTCAAGTCCCACACTTTCACCTGGCAGTCCATTCCAGCAGTGATCATGCTTCTCCCATCCTCGCTAACCGCCAGAGATGTCACAGGGCCATAGTGGCACATCAGCCCAACCAGAGGATACGACATATTGGGACTCCAGAGACCGACTGTTCCATTATGATGTCCAAGGTGAATGACCGCATTGTAGTGGTTCAAACGCATCACCTGGCAGGTCCCTCTCTTCGTAGCATGCCCTGCAACCATGCGCCCTGTGCTGGTGTCCTGATACCTCAGGAAACCCCCCTTCCCAATCGTCGCCAACAGAAAGTGATGAGGCAAGAACTCCAACTTCAAAACACCTCTGTGATCCTTCAAGCAGTGCACCTCGACTCCTCTTTTGTCGTAAATGTACACATACTTCTTCTGTGCCGCCGCAAAGAAGCACTCATTATGTAGGAACTTCACATCCCTGGTTGTCTCGCGGACTTGGATTTCAGTTAGCAGGTTCTTTGATCTCCACTCCATAAGTGACAGATGGCCCTTGCGCCCACCGAGCACCAAGAACTGCCCGTTTCTCGTAAAATCGACCGTGTATGGGCCGAGTTCAGGGAGCCGTAGATCGAATGCATTTCTGGAGCTGAGAAGATCCACTTCGTGGACAATCTCCGCCTGACGAAAATCTCGAGTGCGCTCGACACCCTCCGCCTCCAGAAAACCAGCTTCACCTTGAAGCAACCAGTGTTCGACTCTCGCAGCATTCAAAGCTGCCTTTTCGACCACCTCGTGAGTGCGCTTAAGCTCCACGCCAATCTCTCTCCTCTCCTCTTTCCACCCGGCGCTCTTCTTCTCTGTCCCTCGCCTGTACTTTGCGGCTCTCTCTTCCAACTCCTTCTTCAGCTTCTCTGCTCTCCTCTCGTCCGCTTTCAGGATGTCGTCCGGGTCGGACTCATCCCCTCCTTTCTCATCCAAATCCCTCACCAGCTTGTATGGAACGATCGCTTGGCCATAGCCCTGCTTCCTTCCTCTGCCCTCGCTTGCCACTGTGACCACCCCACTACCTTCGTTTTTTTCAGGTATCGTAGACGATGCGGGTTCACTGCTCTCTTTCTCGTCCCCCTCCACTTTACGCCTCTTACTTTCTGCAGCAGTATCCCCATGACCACGTCTTTTCTTCCCCATCTCTCTCTCTCTCTCTCTCTCTCTCTCTCTCTCTCTCTCTCTCTCTCTCTCTCTCTCTCTCTCTCTCTCTCTCTC